GTGTTGTTATTACCCCCCCCCCCCCCCCCTAGCATCACAAATACGTTTTTCTGCGGCTTTTTGACCCCCCCCCCTCCCAAACACGGGGAGACCAGGCGAACACGAACGAGAGTCTGTTGAAGCTGGGGACCCTGGTGGAGAAGATCGACGAGCGGTACTTCAGCAAGTACGTCACCGCCGGGGCGAATCCATCCTACAAGGACACGCTTGCGGCGGCGGCGACGACGACGACGAGCGGGGCAACGGGGACGGGGACGGGGGTTGCGGCGTCCAAGGGTGAGTGGAAAGGACGAGAGAGAGAGAGAGAGGGAGAGAGTAGCACTTGACGGCGAGAGCGAGGTGTCTAGAGCAACAGCTGCTGTGGCAGGATCACGAGGCCCGTGTTTTGACAGCTGTCGTTGTTGCCCGTTCGTTGATGCTCGCCGGTCGGCGGGTGTTTGCCTGACTGCGATTCCCGGCAGGTGGTAAGCTCGACAAGATGACGAAGGAAGCGGAGGGATTGGCGTCGACGGTGTCATCAGACGTCTCCAAGGCCGCCGATGCGGTATCTAAGGTGTGCGCGCACTCTCGTTCTGCAACGACGGCAATTAAAGAGAGAAGGGGAGGGGGGGATTCAGGAAGTTTGAAAGACAAGTAAGTAGATAGGATTAGAAAGCGAGATGGGGTTCATGCGCTCGGTTGCAGAAAATGTCGTAAATTTTGGGAACAAGATTGTGGCTCTATCAGAGGGGGGGGCTTGGCAATGTGTGCCCCACTTCAGCGAGAGGTTCGTTGCTGGTAGTCGGTCCAAGACCACAAAGGAATGTTGAGGAGTGGACACGCAAGCCCACACCGTTTGTTCGCCCCTTGCCCTCGAACGCCTGTTTTGGTCATCGAAAACCAGAGCGTGTCCGCTTCGGCCGGTGCAGCGGTGGAGACGGTGGGTAAGGCCGCGGGTGATGCGAAGGCGGCGGTGGCAGAGGAGGAGGGGTCTTCTGGAACGGTGAAGCTGGACAGGCCCAAGGAGGTGAGGCCAGCTGGTTGGCCTGTTGAGACATTTCCTGCCGCGGAGGAAAATGGGTGGTGTTCGGCGGGGAGAAGAGTTGGCTGGTTGTGGGATGAGATTGGTTCCGTGTGTGCGATCGGTGGAGGGTTCGGAATACGCGTTCGGCACAACGGATAAAGCCTATTAACACACCTGCTGTGCAGAAGGGAAGGTATTGGCACTTCGGCAACGGTGAAAGAACACTGACTGTAGACGTCCATTGGACGAAAGCGCTGGTCTAGGCATCCCAGCAAGTTTTCCATACCATTTTGTGAAGTGTCGGAGGCGTCTTCTGCGGAAGGTGGAAGACCTCGTGGAGGCTCTTGTTACGACGTTGGAACCCTCACATAAAAAGTGAGGGTTGGAGCACCTCTGTTCTCCTCTTGCGTCTTTTCTCAGCTTGCTCGAACCTCGACGCCGTGTGAGTGTTGGTGCCCACCCCATCCACCGCTCTGATCCTGGGCATACCCAAACCTCCTGTCGTCGTTTTTTTTTTTTTTTTTGCGCCAGGTGCAAGGCGTATTCGACGACATTCAGAAGAAGGCTGTCGAGTTCTACAAGACCAGTTCCGGGGCGATGTCTAAGTCGCAGGACGCAGAGGGTGGGGCGGCGGCCCCGATGTCCGAGGCGGCGAAGACTCTCGAGACCAAGCTTGAGGTGCGTTCCCTCACTGCTGCTGTCGGATGAACAAAAAAGAAAAGCGAACAACAGCGTGGACTTTTTTTGGTTCTGTCCGTGTCACTTTCGGTTCTTGTGCGTTTTATGGCACTGCCTGGGCACGAGTTGGTTGGATTTGCACCATGTTTTAGAGCTCGCGGCCGTGTGTCGTGCGCGTTTAAAAGCAGGCGGGGTTTGCGACCACTCCGCGAGTACGCCTCCTGGCGGGAGTGAAAACGCTCCTCAGGCCGCTGATGTTTTTGTGGCGCGTGAGACCGTGTACACGACGATAGTAAAATATTGAAATCCGATCCGTTGGCCGGGGAAACAGTAAGATTTTTTTTTAATACTGAGGGTTGATTTTTATTGTCCTCCGAGCACTGGGTTTCAAAACCAGGAAACCAAGCTTGAGTTTCGCCGGAATCCCAGACAAGGGTTTAGTTTTTGGCCTTTTTTTCCAAACCAAGCTCGGATTTTGTTTATATACATTTGATTTTGGCACGGCTGTTTTTCTTATTACGGCCTGATAGGCGCATTCCCCCGACTCACTGCTGATGCTCTTGTGCTGGTGTTGCTGCTGCTTGTTTGGTTGCAGTCGCTCCTCAGCGAGAGCAATTTCAAGCCACGGAAGCTCAAGAAGGACAAGAAGTCTCAGCTGGTGGCCGCCATCAAGGCCATGGAGGAATCCTACCCCGCGGACGCTAACCCCCTGGCAGACCCCGCGCTGTCGGGGCAGTGGAGCGTCGTGTACTCGTCGAGCTCGCGGGTGAGATTGAGCACATGGCCGCTAAACAGCTGTTTTTTCTTTTTCTTTCTGTTGAATCTGGTGTTTGTGTACTAGGTGGTTTGTTTTCCCTGTTGTCTGAGCCAGGACACACAAACGGAACAGAGCAAACGGACAGCATTGCCAACGCGGTCGACGTAGTTCATGTGCGATCGCCCGTACTGTTTTGCATTAGCTCGCCTTCGCACTCGTGCGTGGTAGCATGCATAGCACGCGCGTCTCTCGTGTGATGGGGTGACCCTGAAGTGCATGCTTCCCTCTGCGCTGCTGCAAGTCCAAACGAGATATTGCCCCCCCCGCCCGTCTCGTCGCGGGCGTGTAGGGCTTGTGCGCGCACTACAGCAGTAGCCAATCGACGCCCTCGTGCAAAAAGAGCGACCGTCGTTTCTCAGAATCCCGTTTCTCGCGCTCCTGCCCTTTTTTGCTGTCTCGGTGGATACCCCCCCCCCCCCCCCCCCCCCCCCCTCAAATTTCCCCCGTGTTTCCCCCCCCCCCCCCCCCCAAAGGTGGGAGGTACAGGGAGATGTTTGAGGAATGGGATAGAGAGGAGAGGACGGTAGCTGTACTGGGGAGTAGGAAGTGGTTTGAAAAGGCGGGAAGGGATATCGTTAGGATAGACAAACTAGGGAAGACATTTTTGAGCCACCTTTGGCAAAGTAGGAAGGAACGATTGGCCATCGGTGATCGGTCCTGTGGGAACAATGCTCCGTCCTCTCGAGGACGCGTGGTCAATGGTCTAACCGCTCAGGCATGCAAAACATAAGAGTACCCCCCCCCCCCCCCCCCCCCCCCCTTGGATTACCCCAAAAGGGGCTGGGCCGGCTGCGGATTGGGGGGCCGGGTCCGGGGATGGGGGGCTTTCAGGGGGGTGCT